TGGGCCACCCCCTGTCCTGCCTCCCCCAACCCACGCGTGAGTCGTGGTCCTTCCAAGTGCCGCCGCCCCTTCTCCGTCTCCCTCGCCCCCTGCTCCCTCCCGCCCATCAGCCTGGGTCCCGGGGGTCCCGGGGGTCCCGCACCCGGAGGAGGGTCGGTCCGGTCTCAGCCCCTCCCCGCCCCCAGGCTCCCAACCCCTGCGGAATTTCTACACCGCCGTGTCCCGGCCCGGCCGCGGGGAGCCCCGCTTCATCGCCGTCGGCTACGTGGACGACACGCAGTTCGTGCGGTTCGACAGCGACGCCGAGACTCCGAGGGTGGAGCCGCGGGCGCCGTGGGTGGAGCAGGAGGGGCCGGAGTACTGGGACGAGCAGACACGGATCTGCAAGAGCAACGCACAGACTGACCGAGTGAACCTGCGGACCCTGCTCGGCTACTACAACCAGAGCGAGGCCGGTGAGTGACCCGGGCCCGGTCACAGGTCACGACCCCCATCTTCCTCAGACGGGCCGGGGTCGTCCCGACACTCCGGGTCCCAGGTTCACCCTGAGGCTGCGGGTCCCGCCGAGACAATCGACCCGGGAAGAGCCCGGGCGGCTTCTACCCGGTTTCATTTTCGGTTTAGAAATCCGGGCGCTGGGTCGGGCGGGGACGGGGCTGACGGCGGGGGCGGGGCCAGGGTCTCACACCATCCAGGTGATGTACGGCTGCGACGTGGGGCCAGACGGGCGCTTCCTCCGCGGGTACTGGCAGGAAGCCTACGACGGCGCGGATTACATCGCCCTGAACGAGGACCTGCGCTCCTGGACCGCGGCCGACGCGGCGGCTCAGATCACCCGGCGCAAGTGGGAGGCGGCCGGTGAGGCGGAGCAAGAGCGGGCCTACCTGGAGGGCCCCTGCGTGCAGTGTCTCCGCAGATACCTGGAGAACGGGAAGGAAGCGCTGCAGCGCGCAGGTGCGAGGGGCCGCGGGGCAGCTCCCATCTCCTGACATGTCCCCCTGCTCGCCTCCCACACGGAGGGGAGGGAAATGGAACCGACGCTAGAGTGTCGCCCTCCGTGTTGTCCAGAGGGGGAAGAATCCTCATGGGTTTCCAGACCTGGTACAGAGAGGGACTCTGAGGGCCGCCCTTCTCTCAGGACAGTTAAGCGATGAATCTCTCCAGGGTTGAAGGAGAAGACAGTCCCTTTGACCACTGAGGCAGTCTTTGGGCACCATGACTTTCTGTCTCAGACCTTGTTCTCTGCCTCACACTCAGTACGTTTGAAGGTCTGATCCCAGCTTTTCTGACTCCTGGCCTCCTCCAAGGTCATGACCCCAAGTCTTTTTCTCCCCCAGAAGCGTCCTAGCCTAGAGTTCTGTCTTACCCTAAGTCTAGAACTTACCAAGCAATAGGAAGTTATCACAGATGTCTGTGTCCAGGCTGCTGTCTGGGTTTTATGCTCCCTCCCCCACCCCAATTGTCCTGTTCATTCTTAGGGTGGTCACATGAGCTCTGCTTTAATGCCCATGGGAAGTAACTCAAAGTGTCTGAATTTCCTGATTTTTCTCCTCAGATCCTCCAAAGACACACGTGACCCACCATCCCATCTCTGACCATGAGGCTACCCTGAGGTGCTGGGCTCTGGGCTTCTACCCTGCAGAGATCACCATAACCTGGCAGCGTGATGGGGAGGACCAGACTCAGGACACGGAGCTTGTGGACACCAGGCCTGCAGGGGATGGAACCTTCCAGAAGTGGGCGGCTGTGGTGGTGCCTTCTGGGGAGGAGCTGAGATACATGTGCCATGTGCAGCATGGGGGGCTGCCTGATCGCCTCACCCTGAGATGGGGTAAGAAGGGGTGTGAAGGGCAGAGCCTCATGTCAAGGAAAGCAGAAAGCATTTTATAAACCTTCCATAGAGCAGAGCTGAGACTTGGGGATCAGGGCCCCTCACCTTCCCATCTCTTCCCAGAGCCACCTCCTCAGCCCACCATCCCCACTATGGGCATTGTTGCTGGCCTGGTTCTCCTTGGAGCTGTGGTCGCTGGAGCTGTGGTTGCTGTTGTGATGTGGAGGAAGAAGAGCTTAGGTAGGGAAGGGCTGAGTAGTGTGGTCTGAGTTTTCTTGTCCCACTGCGGGGCTCCAAGCCCCACTTAGAACTGCTTCTTCCCTCATTACTGGAAAGTATCATCCACGCACACACATGCTTACCCTGCCTGGGGCCCTGTGTGCTAACACCTATGTTATTTAAAGCACATGTAAAAATCAAGGATAAATTTATCACCTTGATGATTGTGGGGATGGGGACCTGATTTTCAGCAGTCACAGGTCATAGAGGAAGGTCCCCTGCTGAAGACAGCCCTCAAGTAGTGTGGTTGGTCCAGTCCCCACATATCCTCTTTCCTTGTATTTTGTGATCCTGCTGTGGGTCTACAGTCACAGTTCTGGAAACTTCTCTGGGATCCAAGACTAGGGAATTCCACTAGGACCTTATGCCACTGCCTCTTGCCTGGTCTCTCACAGGATGTTTTCTTCCCACAAGTGTAAAAGGAGGGAGCTACACTCACGCTGCTAGTAAATAAGGTGGGGATGTTGAGACCCTTGGGACAGTGTAAGTAGGAATGCATGGGGAGCTCACCCACCCCATAATACCTCCTTTAGCTGCATCTCCTGTGGGCTCTGACCAGGTCCTGTTTTGTTATACCCCAGCCAGTGACAGTGCCCAGGGCTCACACATGTCTCTCATGGCTTTTAATGGTGAGACCCTGGAGGGCCTGAAGTGGGAGAGGGGGTGGGGAAGAGGTGACAATGACTGGATTATGGGGACTATTTGATTGGGACATTTTGAGTGTGTGGTGGGCTGTTCAGGGTGTTACCACTTACAGTGACTGACCTGAATTTATTCATGCTTATCTTTATTATAGCATGAGACAGCTGCCTTGCAAAGACTGAGTGATGCTGTTTGTTCACACCTCCCCTTTGCGACTTAAGAACGCTCTTTCTGCAAATGGCATCTGAATGTGTCTGCACTCCTGTTAGTATGACGTGAGGTGTGGAAGACCAGCCCACCCCTGCCCACCAAGACCTCTCCTCACCCTGACCTGTGTTCCCTTTTCCACTCAACTTGCCCCTAAGCAGCGGTGGGGCTGGGAGGTCTCCACCCCCATCTTAACTTCATGGTGCACTAAGGGCAGCTTTTTACTTCTCTAATGAAAATAAGAATCTGAATATGTTTGTTTTTTCAAATTCTTGCTGTGAGGGGATGATAGATTAATTGGAAGAGAGGAAGATTTGTAAAAATTTGAGTGGAAATAAATGGAGACAGTGAGAACTTTCTAGAATCCGTGTTTGCTGTGCTTCATCTGTTGCAGGTGGGGACAGGGAAGGCTATGATGAGCCGAGTGTGGAGAGGGCCTGTGCCCGGTCGGTGCTCAGTCCATCGTGGGCATTGACATAGTCAGTCCTCAGCTGGGTCATCTTCACTTCTCCCTTGACCTTGTCCCTTCAGTAGAACCTTGTTCCATCAGGACCTGTGATCACAAGGACTCAGACATCGCCTGGGTCTTGTCCTGTCTCCAGGACTGTGGGCAGTGAGGGCTGGCGTGACCAGGTCAGCCTAGGCTCAGGCCTGGGTCTAGCCTTCAGTCCCCATTTTTTGTGTGTTTATATTTTGTGTCTTTTTTTCTGTAAAGGATTATGTGTTTTAATGTTTTGTATATGAGTTCTGGTCTCATTCTTCTGTAGTTATTCCCCATCTCTGACAGCAGCAGTAGTCATTTTTCATCATTGTCCCCACAAGAGGTGGCTGCTGCACAAACACTCTGTGGTATCAAAAGATGAATTTTCAGTCTCGTCCAGCTCTTGCCCTCACAGAGCTGTTTCTGGGTTTGTTCTATCCATTTCTTCCCTAACCTTTTTAAAGGAACCTGATTTTGGAATTAGCAGAGAGGAGGAATCTCATACTTTCTTATCTTACATAAATTGCTGTTTGAATTTTGTCCTGCTCGCCTAACTACACCCTCTTTCTGTCCTTATCTCTAGTGATTGTAGAGGTGATTCCAATCCAAACTCATGGATTTATAAACCTAATTTAAATTTTTCTTTGGTTGGAAAATAGAACCCATAAGTCAAGGATTGTCTTTTCTGAAGAGAGAAATATAATCATATGTTCTGGTGTGTAGGAGCGCTGGGGAGGGAGGGAGGGAGAGGGAGAGACAAGGGAGCAGCACATGTGAGAAATGCACAGGCAGCTTTGATGTAACTCTGAGAGGACATTGTGCTGTAGCTGCCACAAGACAGCATTATGTCTGAAGCTACTTTAATAACGATACTGTCTTGGAATACAGAGGTGCTCTACCATGATCGTTCATTCAACCATTCTTTGTTGTGGGCCAGATATGTGACATAGTGTTTCTGCATCTGGGAAACATCACTGAAGCAAAAACAGAAAAATTGCTGGCCTTGTGGAGCATATGCTCTAGTGGGAAGAGACAGACTTTGTATCCTCTATGCAGAGTAACTAAGGAAAGTGTTTTAGAAGGTGGTAAGTGCTGTGGGGAAGGTGATCCAGAGTGTGGGGTGTGGGGACAGGGAAGAGGGCTATTTTACTAGGGTGGTCAGTGTGGGCCTTGTTGCAAAGGTGACCTTTGAGGGAAGATTTGAAGGACATGAGGAAGTCTGGGACAAGTTCTCCCCAGGCAGGGGGAACCCCACTGCAAATGTACTGGGGCAGGAAGATGTATGCGTTCTGGGAAGAGCGAGGAGGCTGGGACAGCAGGAGCAGAGTGACTGAGATGACGTCAGCTGCAGCCACATCACGTAGGCCTGGAGGATGTTAGACGGGTTTGACTTTTCTCTGATTGAGATGGGGAGTTAGAAGACAGTGCTGAGCAGCAGAGAGACATGGTACAACTTCTCTGGTGAAAGGATCCCTCTGGCTGCTGTGCTGAGAAAGGGATCAAGACGCAAATGCCAGTGAGGTGGTAGGAAAAGCGTAGGGGACTAGTGCAGTGCTCCTGCCAGAGATGTCAGTTGCATCAACAGGTGTGAGCGGTGGAAATAGTGGGAAGTGACTGGAT